CTGATTGGACGTCTCCGTCGTAATTCTTGCAAGCCCACACAAATCCGCCGGAGGATTTTAGAACCTGCGCGACCATGTCATCGATCAGGCGATGTTCGTATATGATGTCTTGGGCGACAAATTTCTCCTTGTACTCTCTACACATAACATTCAAAATCGAATGATAACAATGAGTGGCACACCAGTTACACGAACCTGAATTTGCATTTCGAGAAAAAGTTATTAACTGAGTAAACAGTAGTGAAGGATCAACAGAAGAAAAGGAAAACAGGATAGTTAACAACCGTCGGGATGTCAGTATCCAGTGCACTTCAGTGATAAGCTCATTCTACAGTACCATTCCAAATAGACCTTACGCAACATCTTTGACAGGAATACACTATCTGCGAACGCAGCATATAAACATGAGTGAATCTGTAATCTCATGCTTCGTTCCAAATAACACGTTCGCCTCATAAGGCAGGATGAAAACCGACCGAAAGGGCCAAGATTCGAACGCGCGATCTTTCAACAACGACGCGAGACCTATCCACTGACTTTCCGTGGTCTGAGACAAACTTTCGGATTGGAGTCACACTATATATAATGTGTGAAATTCAAAACTAAAATCGAAATAATGAACAATGCTGCAGATCGATACACAATAAAACCTGATCCTACGGGTTTACTAGCATACCGTTTGTTTTCGATACCGCCGCAAAGGTACTTAATCCTGTTTTATCAACATACACTGCAGGTGCTCAAATACCACAGAGCCGTGGCCTGCTTAAATTGCCCCTAGGCGACTAGAAGCAAGGGGGTGGCGCTTACGCCGCTTCAATTTTGTATCAAAAACTCAAAAAAGAATGCTGCAGATTGTTTACTGATTCATCGTTGAGGGCAGTAAACAACGTAAATGTAACAGTTTATTGCAAATGCGTTTCGTGTACGGACTTGCGACGCTATGGCACAATTCTGATATGGGAAGCACAAAGATGCCTTATACACAAAAAATTATAAAATTTTATTGAGTAGTATACCTTTTATTGAGGTAAATACTCTATAAAAATGTCCACTTACATACAAACAAAGCATATTTACACAGTGCTAGCGTTCAGGCGTCTGATTCATATGGATCAATGACAACACGGCAGTGTTCAGTGTCTCAAAACCTTTTCAGCTTCAAATTTGGTTAGGGTGGCAATAGGAATATTAGACACAGTAATTTCACAAGAATTAAAATCTTTCTCAAATTTAGATTAAAGAACTTTACACTTCAAGAGATTGAAAGTCAGCAAAGGTTGTGTGCTATCTTGTTCAAATGGCCTAATATCACAGGATGCTGCCGTCATCTTTTACAAATCAGGTAATGTTATCAACATATGAAAGAAGGTTTTCGCAACTCAATTTCATATCCAAATAGATTTTTCAGGTAACTGGCGGATTTAAAGACAGATTCCAGGGCGATATTGAAAAGTAGGGGGTAGGGCAGTGGACCCCTTCTCTAACACCTGCCAACGTAGGTACTTCCTCGGTGACGCCCGCATTGGCTCGTATTCTAATCCTATTATCGGCATAGATATCCTTTAAAATCCTAAGGGCACAGTCTGGGAGTATAATTTTCGAAAGTCTGGAAAAGCGTCTTGTAAGACACTAAATGAAATGCATCGCTTATGTCTTACCTGCGACAGCTAGTTCATTATTTCTCCGTTTCTTGTCCTGAATGATGGCCTGACTTAGGTAGGCACGTTCGGCGCACCCTTTCATTCTGTCGAATCCCTGTTGAATACATCCGCTTAGGATGTTATAGTATCTTAACGTTCTTGCAAACACACTGCTTATAACTTTACAGCACGTGACCAATGTATTTCCTATGACAACGGGCCTCCAATTCTTCGATTCATCCAGCTACTCACTTTTATGAAGTGGGTGTGGGTCAAATCATGGACTCTATGGGGATACGATGAAAGGGATGCAGGAATCCTCACGGCTCGCCTCGCAATGCCATCCTATGGGTTAGTTTAGCACTTCATCTGCTGTGGTCTAGATCTTAAAAAAAGCCGTTGGTTCCAGCAAAGGATTTGAATGGCTACTTGTCTGACTACCTGTGCCTCTCACTGCAAGACTTTATCCAGGAGCACCTCTCCTCTGTAACAGATAAAGCGCAAAACCCCGCAGGGACAACTAAGAATGTCTGAATCGACGCGTGTAGGCAACTTAAGTTCCTATATAAGACTAAGGGTGTTTCCAATTCTTGAAGCAGAAACTTGTTACTGTAACGCACGGTACCCGTAAAATCTGCCAACCTTTATTAAGAAGGGCCGACTTTCCAGAGAACAGCACGACCTGGCTTTTGTTCCTAATACAAGGAAATAGAAATGAAGAAAGCGGTTCAAGGCAAAGTAGCTAAAGGCACTTTAAATATATGGTCTTTAACCACTTAATGTATACTAATAAATGTATCTTAGCTAAGCCACATCGCTATTTTAACTTTGTAAGCCTGCCTCGACTTGCTCCCCACACGAAATCCTACCGTGAAGCTCAGTATCAGACAGAAACACTTCCACACACTATTTCAGTGAATAACAACACGCGGACAAGCATACATTAATAGGCACATCAACGTGCTAAACGGAATAGCAACATGACTTTCAAAAGACCTTCACATCGAAACGTGCATTAATCAAATATTATTTGTGGTGAATTCCACGCTGCGGCCAAATATATTGGTCGTGAACCCCAGTTCCAAATGTGCGGATACAGTAGGCATTACCATTCACTTTGAGAATAAAGTAAAGCGCATTTGAGGTAACACGGTCAAATAAAATCACAGAATTTAAATATCTAAAACAAACACTAAAGAAACATGGGTATAAGAAACGATACGATCAGAGCGGGGACTTTCGGATCATGGGATAATGCAAATAATAAGGTCATAGACACGCTGCACGTCAGGCCCAGGTTCGCAAAACCTTACGAAAAAGCGCGTATGAGATACAGCAAGTACATCCCTGCGACTTATTATGGCCATACGAACTTTATGAGAAAGAATGAGTTTTAAGACATCATTCCGGAAGAAAAAAAAGGGAGATGAAGGAAGAGAACAAAACGCCGCCAGAACAGATATCAGACATAGAAAACTCCGGTGCTGCCGCTGAATATATGAAGAGGATGTCTAAAGGACAGCAGCGTATCGATGCACATTTCCGTAGAGAGCATTTACCTCAATAAAAGGTACATCACTCGCTTTAAAATGTACTGTGTATGAGGCATTTAGCTGCCTAAACATCAGAATTGTGCCGTCATGATACTATCTGTAGGGAACAAACGCGCTGAGAATAAACTACTTGTGTTGTTTGTTGCGTTCAACCATAAATCGGGTAATAGTCGACCATTTCAACAACGGGCCCGGAATCGTTATGTTATGCCATATTTATGAATAATATAGTTACTTTTTACAGGAGTTGCTATACTTAACATTATTAACAGTGAATTAGTATGAATACACAAGCGATAGAATATGGTTTCCATTTAAGCATCTGCTTCACTCTTTTGCTAAGTTAATAAATTTTTCTCCAAAGACTAAGACCACATAACCGAAAATTATTCAGATTAGCACAGTACTCAAATTAGTACCTGTCGTAAATTTCTTGGAAGATATCTTTGAAGCGGCCATCGTAACGCTTCAATATCGTGTTTTTCGTACTCAGATAAAGAGGATACTTTTTGTCTAAAGCGTACTCGAAGCAACTTCTCGCGAATCCTTCGATAGACTTAAAGTACGTAAAAGATGAAAGATGATCAGATTGTGGATCAGCCTGAAAGGCGTCACCGCAAGACAACGCACCTCATCCGTGTTGTACATCACCATGCCGATTCCGTTGCCGTTGAAATGATAAACAGGATAGACTTTTTTATCTGACGTCTCATCCGACTTCACTATGGCTTCCAAACTACTTGGCCCAGTGACGACAAAGTCGGTAGCTTTATACTAAATCGTTTAAGCATTAAACATCGAACCGAAGACTAAATTCACGACGTAGAAGCACGCCTGACAACTGACGGTCACTCATCGGTCTAAATGCGTGTTCGTGGTATACGGTTAAATCTGGAACGATGTAAACAGCTGTTCATTTGAGTTTTTTTGGCTAGACATAACACAATGCAGAAGAAAACTTGCGTTTGAACGTCGTAAAAAAACACTTCAGGTACGAAGGCAACGTGAATTTAATGACACTGACCAATGAATTTATTTCTCCATCTTGAAAAACGTTCACCGATGGATACTGATCAAGAAAACAATTATAGTCCTGTTCAACATAACCCAATTCCTATAATGATGCAACTATAGCCGAGCTGCCCAACTGTTGTGAAGACGAAATCTGCATAGTAGTAAACAACTGCACTCATAAATCACTCAATCAAAACAACAGGCTAAATAGGGAGAGTTACGTGCAATACCACAAAATTTTGTGCTATTTTTTGCTGGCACCAATGGCGTTTGAAGGAGAAATGACATATCCCTTTAACTCTAAATCGGATGCATGCCTCTGGAGGGATCAATTCCTGTAATTCCGCTGTACACTAAACAGAATACCATGATCGAATTTCAAGGAATGCGACATCCTTAACAAATTCTTGCAGCTGAGTAAAACTTTGGTAGCCTCCGATCACCCTACGCAGCAGTTATTAGCTGCATGTGTAGGCGAAACACTTGAAGAATTGAACACTGTCCCATATGTACAAAACAACAACAAACGTCTTCCTCCTTCTGGGACTTGATAACATGAGCTCAGAAATTTAGGCCGTGTCTGACCTGCAGATTTGTCAATTTTAGATAATACAAGCGAGAGAATAACGTCATTTTCTGTTCATTTACTGGCTTATTCATTTGCTCATTGTTTCTTTGGAAATCAATATGAACGGAATTTTAATCCTGCTCTTACAATCCCACAAAACTCTGTCTTGCGCTGCTCCAATCATTTAGTTTTTCTTACACCATTTATACAGCGAAATTTCCTAACTACGAATGCTAGCAAGACACATTGTCTACTGTTTGTTGACTACTGTTGTACATTATCTATCTAATGTTTGCTTTTTATATTACAATCGTTACATTTCTGTTACTTATATCACAAATCTAGAAATGTCTACATTGTAAGAAAGTTCCACTGTCTAAAAAATTAAACAAAAACAACTATCCGTGATTGCTCGAGAACTCTTGCAAGAATGTTTCCTTATTCGTGACACATTTCCAGGCAAAACGAAATTGAACTTTAGAATTTGGAAAAGACATGTCATACTATTCGGAATACACGCTTCTAAGTATTTTGTGTACCGCAATTTTCCTCATTCGCTAACTACGTGTACCAAGGCCATCGAATGGACTGCAGTGACAAAATCAACGGCGAGATCAGCAGAAGGCGTCACGGGCAAGTCTCAATAAAATCAAAACATCGTCATTGGGTAACGAACTTCCAGTATCCACGAAAAAAAGGGTTGCTCGACTCTGCCGTCCTGTCCTTCAAGGCTTGTGGCACGGAATGCTGATCTACCACAAATGCTGATGGTAAGGCAAAGAGGGATGGAAAGAAGAATACGCAAGACCTCACTAGGTTCTGTTCGAAATGCAAGGTCGGTGTCAGAAAAAGATTTCTGAGTGTACTCACAGCTGCATCCAACTCGAAGAAACGATGGGCTGGTCATGCCGTTCGTCTGAAGGGTAACAACAGAATCCACTCGGTAACAGACGTCTACTCGGTCGTCGACCAAGAGCCGAGACGATCTAATTGCGAAGATATTTGGCCAACGGTGGAAGCAAAAGGCGTAACACCAAGAGGAGCGCGGGACGCCGACTTGCGTCTGTGGCGCTGAAAAGTCGAATAGAAGGAGACAATTTCAATAATCGGACCATTTTTTAAATATAACAATGATGTCTTCTATCCCTGAATAAAAAAG